TTTACCTCTAGAGGGGAAAACACACCATCTGTTTCCCAGCTACGAGGAAGTCAGAAATCTAAGAACTGTGGTAACTGAAAGGTGCAGGCTTGCAGGAAGCCAGGCTGGTTTGAGACCTTTGGGAGCCAGATCCAGCATCAGGATAAAAATGTGTTTAAACATTTTAATTGACAAGTTAAATTTATACATAATTGCTGTATATAACATAATGCTTTAAAATATTCATACATTATAGAATGACTCAATAGCATATTTTCATATGCTTATTTTTTGTAGTGAGAATACCTAGAAATCCATATGCTGTACTATAGATACATATTTATGTTTATTGCTGCACTATTCATAGTAGCTAAGAACTAGATTAGATGGCCATCAAGAGATGAATGAATTTTGTTTTTTGGTTTTTGGAGATAGTGTTTCTCTGTAGCTCTGGCTGTTCTGGACTCACTCTGTATACCAGGCTGGCCTCAAACTCCTGCCTGTCTCCCAAGTGCTGGGATTAAAGGCATGCATCATTACCTCCTAGCTTGAAATTTTTTAGATTAAAAAAAAAAAAAAAGATAAATTTGGGGTATGGAAAAGCACCACAGCACACCTGCTAACTCTTACTGTAAGAGGACAATGTGTGGAGCCAGGTCTCCCCTTACACCTTATGGATTCCAGGGCTTGAACTCATCAGTAGGCAAGCTCTCTTGTCAGACATCACAGCAGTCCTTGAAACCCATTTCTTTGTATGTTAATAACACTTGCACACTGCTATTAGCTATTTAGCATGTGACATACTAGTAGGCCCCTTGAGCTTATTACTTTCACCTGAAGTTCCCAACCCTCTGGCTAACAGCTCTCCCACCCTACCCCTCCCATCATTATTTTACCGTCCTATATTTGCTTCTAACTTCAGGTTTTTGTTTTTGTTTTTTTTTTCAAGAAAACAAGACTTTATTGATCTTTAAGGTGCCAACACAAAATTGCCAACTGACATTAGGTAAAAAAAGGACATTAAACATTAGCACTAACGTTGACCCTGGGGGTTGGTTTAGTCAACAGGACCCTGGCTCAATTTCCACCCCCCACATCCAGATGAGATTCTAGATTCTGCATGCTCATGATGCAGACACCATAAATGACACTAACCATGTCTCAGATGTTCTCACTGAAACTCCAAGATGCCTGGAGTTCCCACTGTAGCTGGCACTGGCATTAACTCTCCCCACCTAATGTCTGGACAGTGAGTGAACACTCAAGGTCTAGAAAAGGAACTGAAGACTTCAGGGACAGATGTCTGGAAATGGTGCTCCCTGGAGTAAGTTCAGTTTCTTAAAACTGCACACTACAGGTTTTTGGATTACTTTCTCCTTTGTTAAGGAGTGCCGCTTTGTTGAGTATACAAGACACGTTTCCTTTATTCATTTGTTGATGGACATTTAGGTTTTGCATGTCTTGGCTGTTGTGACAGTGCTGAAGCAGACACAGCCATGGGTATGCAGATGTCTTTTCCATGCACTATTTTCATTCTCTTTATCTGTATATCCAGGAATGGGATTGTGCAATCATATGATAAAGTAGTTTTTTCCCCCAGTCCTAACCTTGAACATGTTAAGCTTGCACTCTATTGCTGAGCTTTGTGCTTTGAAAGAAATGGGGTCTGTTAGTCCTGCTGGTATACACTCTTACTGCTAGCACTTGGGAGGCAGAGGCAGGAGGCTTTCCATGAGTTTGAGGCCAGCATGGTTTACACAGTGAGTTCCAGGGTAGCAAAGGCTATGTAGTGTAGGGTCTCAAAACAACAAAGCAAAGAAATAGCACTTCTTTACTCCTCAAAGGACCCAGATTGGTTTCCAGCTCAGGTGTTGGGGTTTACCACTGCCTCTAATTCCAGTGGATCCATTACCTCTGTTCTATAAGGACACCTGCACACAAGTGCACATATTCACACACACACACAAACACCCAAATAAAAATTGCCAACCCTCCTGTCTTAGTCTCCCAAGTAAAGTAACTAACAGAGGCATAACTACCATGCCTGGCTGATAGTCTTAATTATTTCTTAAGTTTTTCATTTTGTGTGTATGGGTATTTGACTACATGTGTATCTATGCAGCATAAGTGCAGTACCCAAGAAAGCCAGAAGAGGGCATCAGATCCCCTAAAATTGGAGTTAGATGGTTGTAAATTGTCATGTGGTTGCTGGTAATCAAACTTGGGTCCTCTGGAAGAGAAGTCAGTGCTTAACCACTGGGCCACCTCTCTAGACCCTTTATTTTTGAGACTGGATCTGTGTGTTTGTCTTGACATTCTGTTTTCTCTATTATGATTTTGTGGTACATTTTCAGTTATTTTGTGATGGTTCCACACTGGCTCTGTTTAAGATCACTCTGGTTATGAATCTTTTGTGTTCCATAGAATTTTAAAATTACATTACAAAGTACAGGAAAATTATTTAAAAACACAGTATTACACCTTAAAATTTTATAATTGGTGTGTGTGTGTGTGTGTGTGTGAGTATCACAGCGCACACACCGCAAGTGAGAGAACAACTTGAACGAGCAGTTTTACTTCTACCATCTGGATCCAGTAGCCTGAACTCAGGTTGTCAGGCTTGAACCTTAACCGCTAAGCCATCTCACCAGCCTGCTTTATGTGGATCTTTCATGGTTCCATTCAATTTTTAAGATTTTAATTTCTGAAAGTATCTTTGGAATTTTGATGGGGACAGCATTGATCCTAGATCTTGCCTTGGATAGTGTGAATGTGTTAACAATATTAGTTTTTTCAAACACCAAACATGTTTTTTTCTTTTGCCTCTTCAATGTCTTTCCGTTTTGAGGCATATACTCTAGACAGTATTTTGTAGCTGCTGTGAGGAATGTATCTTTGATAACTGTTAGTGGATAGAAACATGGATGCCTTTTGTATGTTCATTTGTGATCTGCAACTTTCTTGAGACAGGGTCTCATACATGCTAGGCTGGCCTCAAACTCAATGTAAAATTAAGATGACCCTGACCTTTTGATCCTCTTGCCTCTACCTCTTGAGACATCACCACCACACCCCTCCCATACGGTGCTGCTGCTTGAGACTGAGCCCTTATGAACACATTCTTGAGTGGACTTTCCTATCACTAGACTCAAGAGTCCAGCAGAGCTGTAGGACTGAGGTCATTCACAGAAAAACACCCGAACAAGGAAATAATAGGCTTTGCACAGGTGGCTCCAAAGACATGCACTGTCCACCCTCCACTGGGCAGAGAGGATCAAGTCCTGTGAAGGACTCCAGAACAACAAGCACAGCACCCAGAAAGGGTGATACCTAGATTTACTCACCAGAGCCCTTGAAAGTACAGTTCTCATTTTTCTAGATGTGTAGAGTACCACATTTTCTGGCTGTGGAGTGCCAGAAGGTTTTGATTTTGTTCTGCTAATTGTATAGGCACTGTTGGAAGCCGTGGTAGTTTTAACTTCAAGGCCTCCATTTAAGGTTACTATTTTGGGAAGTTGCCGTTAGCTGTGTCACTTGCTATAACATCTTGCTGCAGCGTTCAGAGGCCTGAGACTTGAACACCCAGCTTTGCAATAGACACAGCTCTCTGCTGCTAACTCCTGCAGGTTTGTGCATGCCTTTCCAGGAGCCAAGTGATCACTTGTGACTGTCTATCCTCTTCCCTGCTCACTCTTCCCAGAGGTCAGGTCTGCATCAAGACCGGAAAGCCATCCCTTCCAATAAGTCCTTTTATACTTTGAACTTGCCCCTGGCATCTGCTTCCTGGAACCATGACTGACAGAACTACCCACCCACAATGGTGCTGGGCAAAGCCTACAGGCTCACTCTACTTGAAGATTTAAAAAAATAAACCTTCAACCGGTGTAGTGGTACTGGGTGCACATCTTTAATCCTAGCACTCCAGAGGCAAAGACAAGCAGATTTCTGAGTTTGAGGCCAACCTGGTCTACAAAGTAAGTTCTAGGACTGCCAGCGCTACACAGAGAAACCCTATTTTGAAAACCTCCAAACAAATCTTCAATACACCAACAATGCAAACTGGAAAGCAGTGCCACCTGGCACGGAAGGATTGCAGAAGATGCAGGCTACCACAGATACAGCCTGCTATCTCCTGGGGTTACAAGTCACTTTCCAGTGTGGCTGAAGAGGAATCACCCAGGAACTGGTTAAAATACTATTTATTTTAAAAATATTCATAATTTATCGAGTACTTACTATGTGATAGGAACCATGGCAGAGCTTTGCATACATTGTTTCATTCAATACTTAGATAACTCTTGTACAGATCTCCATTTCCCAGATAAGGAAATGGAGTTAATTAGATGTTGAGCTTGGACTTGAATCAACTGACTGATGCCAAAACTAACACTCTTTAGCTAAACACACACACACACACACACACACACACACCACACACAGAGCTTGAGCACACCCACCCCTTATGTGATGTCTATTTAAAATAATCAAGTTTCTAAGGAAGAAAAACAAGAATTAACTTGAGAGAAATTAGTCAAAATACACAGAGAAAATGAAACCACTGAGTTGAATCCCTTAGAAGTTGTATAGAGGGGAAATAGTTGAAGGCAGGTAGGATTTTTGAAGAAAAAGTTTTAAGTCTTGACCAGCTCTAGGTGCTCCTGGACACAGGATTTTTCTGGGCTCATTCTTACAAACCTGTTAATGAGGTAAGATGACTAGCTTTCCAGAGCTAACATCAGATATTTTCTTCCTACATGGAATTTTTTAATCATTCTGTATAAAATCAAACTAGTAAGTTTATATTTATCAAATCACACAAGAAGTAAAATGATCTGCTGGGCCTCACATGAACATCAAATCTCAATATCCACCCAAAGAAGTGACTCTTGGCTTCTTCATGCAAAGGACCTCCAGATGGTCCCTATCTCAGGCTTCCTGTTCAGAGCATGCATGTACACATGCATGGATGGATGTGGTATTAAAAATGGATGAAAGAGCCTTTAATAATATTGCCATTCCCCTATCTTGGCAGGTTTGATTGCTTGTTTATTTCTGGTTGTAGGTGAGAGGTCAGAGACAGAAAAAATTGTGAAGGTGCTTAAGAGTTGTCAACTTAAAAACCCTCATCTGAAGTCCTTTCCCATTGTCTTCATTCTTCTCTACATCTGCAAGACATTTTCTTTACTACAGACTTCTGTTTGTTCCACCTTCAGGAAAAGGCTTAAGAGGCCAGCATCAGCAGAGAGGGCAAGAGGAGAACTGTTCGGGTTGGGGTGTGTCATCTTAGCTCTCCCAGCCCCATCTGTCCTGTGGGGTCACCCGTGAAGCACAGTTAGTGCAGACAGGAAAAGCAGTTCGAGCCTTTCTGGGAGGAAGGAGGTAGAGAAAAGAAAACAAAATACATTATTCTGTGGGAAATAGGAGTGTAAAAAACTCACTGTTTACTATGTTAAAAAAAGGATGGCACATTTATTGCTACATAAATGTTATATACATACTGTGTTTTCTGTTACAGTGACAGAAAAAAAAATTTGAACTTCTTGCTGCTGGTTGAAAAGGTTTATCAATAATACCTTAAATTTGACACAGGATACAAATCTGCAATAAACCAACAATGGAAACTGGAGAACAAGATGAAAAGCAGCTCATCTCCAACAATTCGCTCTCACAATACTCCATAGGAACTACACGGTATGCTAGAACCTACTATGCTCTTAAAATGCTATTGTAAATTTCTGATATTAATGAACAGGTTATGGTAAATAACCCTACATTTTCTTTAACTACCTAATATAATAAAATAAAGTAAGAAACTTTTTACTGAAAATTTTTGATTTCAAAAATCTAGAAAGAGTAATATTTAGAATTCAAGAAATTTTCTTACAAGATTATTGTATAAAAGACTAGCTACAGTGAAAAATAAGCCAAATGTTTTTTTCTTTCTATTTTATGAAGGAAAGCTTCTGGGCATACTGCAAAGTCTAATATAGCGAAAAAGACAACAAGCTCTGAAGAAAAAAGGCCAGGCAGTGGCTTATGTTCACTCACACATCATAAGCAACAACTTCTGTTTTAGCTGATTAACACTGAAATGAAGAACAAGGCCACAGATAGAGTATGATGTAACTGGAGAACATATGCAAATTAAGGTATGCAAATCAAGTCCACTAAATTCACCTAAGACTGACTTGTTAGAAATAGTCCTTATGGAGGATCTGAAGTGCTGTCCTAACAGTTTGTTCTTTCAAATTCTCCGGAGTCTATAAGTTCCAGAACGACTTGGGATTTTTCTTCTATGTGCAGACTGAGACTGATACTGGCTCTAAGGAGTTACTTAGCCAAGACCATTGTGTTCAGCATGTTTTTCTCTCCCAGGGATGCTGTGGTGGAAGACAGATTTCATGGAAGTTCAAAGTGATTACCGTGTCTTAAATACAACTATGAAGGATTGGAGACAGAGGGGCTTTAATGCATAATGCTAAAATGGACTGACAAGTACAGCTCAGCGCTAATCTGGCTCTTCTTGGGGTGAGGGCAGGTGGTTTGCAGGTGATCAAATCACCCTCCTGCCCCACACCCCCACTGACCAGCCACCCAAAGGACAGAAATAAAGGCTAGAATAAGGAAATGTGACCATTGCTCTTGGATTCCATAGGTAATTAGCCTCATAGTGGTTGTGTGCCTTCATCACACTGCCTGTCCTGGTGACTAATGAGTTTTGTTACACTCACCATGATCATGGCCTGAAAAGTCATCTTTGTATTGTACTGAATGCATTTTGTGCTTACTTACAGCTAACACTTTACAAGTACTATATTGTGTAGTACTTACTGCTTGGAAAACAAAGCAATTTTCTAAAAAGTAGACTCTCCCTTGTAAGTTACACTTCTTGCTATTATAGCTTTACTATGAAACCTAGAAGCCTGAAAAGTCTTAGTGATTATTAGAAATAAAGCAATGTTTATTTGGGGGCAAATCCAGGGGACAAAATTTCCCCTTTCAAAATCTTAGCTAGGCTATGGTCACAGATGGTGTCTGCTTACCACTGCAAGGACATGAACAAAGCACACAGGGCTGCAAGGAGGGTTCTGGATTGTGACCATAACCTATGCCGACTCAGATCAAATATAACACCCACAAAGAGAAAATAAAAATGAATGAAAAAACAAGAGAGAAATGCTATACCAAGTAATATTTTCCTATTTCATGGAAAACACTATTTATATGGCGAAGGTCGGAGAGGGCAACAAAGGACTCCCTTCCTTTTTAAGACACTAACAGGTATGCCGGGAATGCTAAGGGCCAATGGTTGCCACTGCTTTGTGAACAGCTTTAACAATGCTGGCATCAGCTGAGTGTAGATCAGCTTCCCACATGAACTTTTCCCTTTATATGTAGACCTCACAGTTCCATAACAATAAATAAAATTTGTAGTTACAATGCATTTGTCAATTCAGTTTAGGCACAAGGCAACTTCCACATTGAGTGGAGAGATGAGACAGTCTCTGATTGTGCAGAAGCGACACATTGCTTACAGCAGAATGATATGCTGTAAACACCTCATGGGCCGGCGTTCTCTCATGAGCTTCCTATCCTCACTTCTGATGGAAGTGTTGACCAGTTGCTTTGATCATAGGATTACATTTGAGTTTCTTGCTTCAAGTGTTTTGTTTTTCTTCTCCTTCCTGTCAGGTTTGTGTCTTCAGATAATCTGAGTTGTCCAAGTCTTTATGAGGAGAGGTCACCTTCTATCTAGCCTACTGTTGATGCTGGAACTGTGGCAGGGAGAAGAGGACAGTTAGTATGCAATTATTAAACATAACACCACTCCCCCAAATCCCAGTTGTTGTTCATTATATCTAGGCTTGCACTAAGTTAGTCCAAGTGACTTACACAAGAGCTTCTTTCTTTTCAGGTTATTAGAGGTCCTTCCTCACCTGATTATTTTTACTATACATAAAAGCTTAGGATAAAGTTTACAAATTAGGCAAAGTAAAATACAACAATAAAAAATAAAATAGAACACTTCTAACAATATACTGTAATGTAAATTTACGCTTTGGGGCCATTATTAAGCATGATAGGGACTGCTTCAACAAGTACTTATGACAGTGGATAGGATAATCAAAATGGCTACTTAGTGTGTAGCAGGTGAGCAGTATATATGGAGTATACACACTGTACAGCAAGAATTCACTTCCTGGGCAGGGTGGAATGTAATTTCACTATATATGTATATTTTATATATGTATTATATTTTATATATAAAATATATAATTATATATAATATATTTTATAAATTATATATAAATTTATATATATTTTATAAAGTATATATATAAATTATATAGTATATATTATATATTTGTATTATAAAACATGCATTATATATGTATGTTTTTTGGAGACAGGGTCTTACTATGTATCCTTGGCTGGCTTGGAAATTGCTATGAAGATCAGAGGAGCTTAAAACTTACAGATCTACCTGCCTCTGCCTCGGAGTACTGGAATTAAAGGGATGTGCCAACACACCCAGCCTTCATTACAAATTGTTTATGGATTACTGTTGGCTACAAGTAACTGGAATCATGGAAAGGGAAGCTTCCAAAGAAAGGAACTAGTTTGTGATTGCTAGAGTTTCACCTGCTGTGTGTATGTACAGGAGAGCTTGTGATTAAGAACTGATATATGTCTTAGCTAGCCAATTATGCAAGTTTCCATTTTGGGAACAGGTAAGTTGGCAATGTCTGACCTCAGATTCTGCCCACTGACTGCTCAGCACTGTGATCACAACACTCCCTCATTGCTGCCCCAGCCCACCATGTTGGGCTGATTGCTTATATTCATTTCTTTTAAACAGAAAGTTCTGAAGCCTCAGTTGCTGGTCCACGGTAGGTCCTCACTAAATATTTGTCTAGAGAATTTACGAAATTATCTTATTAGTTCAAGTTTTATACAAGCATATGTTCCCAATACAATGTATGTATTAGTAACCTGAAAAATTCTATTAAAACCACTTACAATGGAACAGTTTAGGAAGAATCATACTTTCACTTCCTTGTTAGGTAATAGACCATACTGTTTGGTAACAGTGATACTTTCAGGGCTAGAAAACTATTAAAAGCTACTTGGTTGTACAATGGTGGCAAATTGTTGGGTATTTTTTGTATGCTTCTTAAATTACTACTACTAGTAGTATATGTGCAGAAGCACTTTTGCCACTGCGTGCCTATGGTGGATTCTGGGAATTGAACAAAGTTTTGAGGCTTGGGCCCTTCAGGGGCCCCTCAGTGAGAGTATCTCCATATTATAGAGATTCCAATGCAGCAAAAAGCAGAACAGGCAAACACCAGGACGTCAACTGAGGGGAGGACAAACAAGACAGGCTCTGAATCTAGTGTGAATGTCCTTTCCAGAATCTGAGGGAAACCCAGGACTAGAGTTTAATATGAAGTTACTTATTGCTATTCTTCTAGACTTACCAACTTAAAAAGTTACCTTGGCACCGAGAAACAATGCATGTTTTTATCTGAAGACACCAACATTTACTTATAAAACAGATCAGTCAGTTACTTTCCTACAACATTGTTTTCCACAGAATACAAGACTTGCCTTTTACAAAGTGTGTGAACCAGCAAGCTCTTACCTAAGGACTCTGTGACATGAAAACCTACCTGATGACTGGAGATATTTGTGGGGAACTGCTTTAGAGTTCCCTCCAGGGTGCTACTGTTACAATGATAACTGACTAATAGTATACTGACATTTTTTCTTTTTCTTTTTCCACATGCATTTTCAACTGCAACCTAATCTGATCCTAGTAGTGGTGGCATAAACCAAATCCTACACTGAAAGAGCAGTTTACTTAACTAACTATTCTATCAAATTTCATACTTTCATCTCAAAATGAAAGTCACAAAGCTAACCGAAGGAAATTACATTTGATATTGTTTTTGCTTCTATCCGTTTGCCTCTACTATACTTAAGAACTATACAATACTAAAGGCAGGTTATAAAAATGAAGTTATGGCTGGGAGTGGTAGCACATGCCCTCAACCTCAGAACTTGGGAGGGAGAGGCAGGCAGATCTCGGTGAGTTCAAGGGTATTGAGGGTTACATAGTAAGGCCCTGTTTCAAGAAAAACAAAAGCTAAAACCAAAAATCTCCAAAATGAAATTATTACTTCTACTCTTAACCCATGCTGCTAGCTAAAATGCTACTGTTAAAAATATTTAATTATAGTTCACACTGATCAGCTTCCAAAATAGTAACTTTGCAACTGTGCTCTCCAATAAATAAAACTCAACCAGAGAGAGCTAGCTACTTTGGGTGTATCACTTAACATCTTTACATTCATCCACCAGTGGGTTCTAGAGGATGTTAAATTCATGACTAAAAGCATAGCAACTGCATTTTACACTGCATCACTGGTCCAAGTGGAAATGTGCAGTAACTGTCCTGTAGAGAGGAGCCCGACTCAGACAGTTAGCAGAAGATCAGTACTTGTCAACAGAACATGGAGCAAGAGTGGGAGCAGAGACAGTCTGAGAAAAGTCATTGTGATACTGTCTTCTTGGAGAATGAGTACACATGCTGACTTAAACCAGAAGATCTGGCCTTTCCTTATGAGCCACAAGCTATGATTTGAACAGTAATTTGGTCTAAAATGACACTAGTTTTGATGAGACAACAGGAAGGCACACAGTTCACTGTATCCCAAATTATATATGATCTTTACAATCACCAGTGCCTACCAGAGAGCCGCTCCACAGCTTTAACCATGATCTCCTTGCATTTCCTTCCCAGACCCATACGTACCTGGCTGACGTTTACAGATGACCCATAGGGTTGGTAGTTTCACTAAGCCCAGGATGGGTTCCTGGCAGCGTGGTTGGTGGCTCTGCTGAAGCAGCAGAGACCTTTTCTTCTTCTCTTCTCTTAAGGCAGGCTGCTTTGGGGTTGAGGTTCCTCTCTACAGCAGGAGAGAACTGTTATCAGTATGTAAGAAGGCAGAATGAGGGGCTGGGGACAGGGGTTGGGCAAGTGGCATTGAGATTGGATCTCTAGGCCTGACTGGTCTCTGTTACCCAGGCTAGCCTTTAACCTGTGGTTCTCTTCCTGCCAAGGATAAAGCCTGTTGGGTCTTAAGCTGAACAAGAATGATCAATCTCTGTAATTTCATTTTTATACTAAATCTCCTAATTTACAGAGGCAGCCAGATATAAGTATTAAATGAGATGCCAGAATTCTTAGTGACAACTTTGTATTTCACTTTTTGATTACTATTTAGTCTTATAGGGTTTAGTTTGTTTGAAATCAACATGTTAATTTTTAAACAAATCTTAGCAAGTGCCATTATTTGTCAATCAAGTTCTCCTTAGAGTCCTGCTATGATAGGGTACATTAATTGACATGAAGGTTGATACCCTCTTTATACCTGGAAAGACATCTGTGCTGCACCTCATATTTACCAGTTCAGAAAACTATTCCTTTGTAGGAAACACACGAATGCAAGGGAAACAGATGACCATGGCATTCATTCTTTTCCTGTCCGGATGTACACACAGAATAAGATGACAGAGTTCTTTCTCTGGCTTTGGTAGAGCAAGGAAGGTGCTAAAACTTTGTTTTAGAAGTCAGCCAAGATGACAAGGTATGTTGTGTAATGCAGGTGTCTCTGGGAAATCAAAAGAATAGGGGCTACCAAAAGAAATATAAAGGTGGGCCCGCAGAGATAGCTCAGCAGTTAAAAGCACTGGTTGGTCTTCTGGAGGCCCTGAGTTCAAACCTCAGGACCCACATGGATGCACAAAACTGTCTATAACTGTTGACTCACGTGATTTGATGCCCTCTTCTGGTGTGCAGATGTAAATACATGTACATGTACATATACATAAAATGCAGAAATATATCTTTAAAAAAAAGAAGTGGAAAGGTATCTTGCTTATGAATTTCTTACCTAATTTTTGTTTCTGTTATAAGCATAATGCTATAGGGGGCCAAGTGACATACACATTAGTTTTTTATAAACTGATTTAAAATGCCTTAATGGATACAAAGGGATCATTTAAAACTAAACGGCAATGAGTATAATATTCATAGAAACTTCAGTTTATTTTTTTTGAGACAGAGTCTCAACTATGTAGTCCTAGCTGTTATGGAACTCACTCTGTAGACCAGGCTGGCCTCAAATTCAGAGATCTACCTGCCTCCTTCTAAGTGCTGGGATAAAAGGTGTGCACCACACGTGGCAGGGGAGAAAGATTGCTAACCCTAGGTCTGTCTGCCTTGGGAGGCTCCAGGTTGGGGTTGGTCAGATTTAGTCTTGGAGCACCACTGTAAACCAAAAGGAGCCAGACTAGGCCTACTAAGCCAGGTAAACAAATGTGTCTTTACAGAAACTACTGGGCTCAGGACTGCAAGTATAGCAAGGATCCCTAATGAATACCTTACCAAACGTCTCAAATGTTGGAGCCATAGTCCAGGCAATAACAATTACACAAGCTTAGAAGATACTGCCAAGGACCAGGAACAGGCACTGAGCACTGAGGAGATAGACACTGGGCAGAGGGCATCTGAATGCTTTTCAAAGAGTCTTGAAAAGGAGCTGTAAGATAAAGGCTCTGGGCTTGAGGCCTATAGTCTGAAAATGGAAGCAAAGGCAAAGCCGAGAGTAAAGCAATCCCTAGCACAGCTACTGTTCAGTGTAGCTGAAATTTGTTCATTTCTGATCAGTAAAGAAGTCCACAGACAGCTCAGAACATGTCAAAATGTCAGAATTACATTCACAATAGTACAGCTATGAGGCAGCTGGACAAGTCTGGATGTTCCCTCATACTTGGGTTTTCTGTTCTAAGTGCCTGCAGAGGACTGCTGCAGAGTTATGTCTAACTTTTTCCAAATACTGAAACAGTTCTCGGTTTAATGGCTTGGGTTTGAGACTAGGAATTTCCACTCCCAAAGGTTTAAAAAAACTCTGTCTTTTAGCTCTAATGCATGGTGGGGATGAAAAGGTGCTAAGCAAGAATAAATTCTGGCAGCTTTGCTGAGTCCCCAGACTTCCACAGGAAAGAGAAGGCAGCTTTAACAGTAAACTGTTGGTGAAACCAGAGTTAAAGTATCACGGGCTGAAAAGTGAAGGGAGAATGCATATGGGACTTCCTCACACTGGTGCTCTGTTGCTTTCAGATTGGGGCCAAGTGTTCATTCAGATACAGTTCAAGCAATAAGGGGGGTGGTGGTGTAATAAATGAATATGAGAATGGCTGCCTTAGGAAGGAACAATGTTCCTGCTACCATCAGGAGGCTGTAATTCTTCAACATCTGGTTTGATGAATATTTATCCTCTACACACACTTCTAGGGTTTTGAACAAGATGAGCACATACCTGGTTTTAGGAACAGGGTGACTATGCACCATTCCTACACACCAAACATATTGGAGGGACATAGAGATGAAGAATTTCTAGCTGCTATCAGTTTTTATGAAGGTTTGTTTCAGCAATTCCCTGAGTCATCATCTTTAGTGATGCTGAGGGATCCTGGCTGTAATTTTTAAGCACATTCCTACATTCCACTATTTAAAACCCAATATAAACATTTGGATAATTCAACATAAGTAGGAGAGGAAGTTGCTCATAAGCAAAGAGACTAATATAAAGTTTGGAGTCCAGAGCTACATTTATTCCTTGCAAAAAGTTTGCAGAAAAAACATTAACAACTGACATACTATACAGGTGACTGATGAAACACAAGCTAGATGGTGGAACCTCAAGGGCAGAAGTGTCCACTATTTAATAACTGCCCAGCACGGAAGAGGTGTTATGACAAATACACCTAAACAAATGAAGTTTTAAAGCTTTTTGGGGATCCCATCAGACTTCATGAAAAAAGGAAATAGGAATTGCCTCAGTCAACAGTGTGAACCCTTTCAAACCACACATATGTGACACATGGATGTGTCTTAGAAGTTTACGGCATTTTTAAAAGAGATCAATAAAGCAGTCCTGAGATCTGACATGGGTGTAAAAGACACCAGTGTGGTAAAGACAGGGAGGAGCCATGTTAACCAGCAGCATTTGTAGAAGATCCAGAGTAAAGCATGTGAGGAAACCTAGTGCTGAGGAAGGAACACAACATGGTATAGAGAGGCGGTGGTGGCTCATGCTTTAATCCCAGCACTCGGGAGGCAGAGGCAGAGGATCTCTGTGAGTTCAAGACCAGCCTGGTCTACAAGAACTAGTTCCAGGACAGCCTCCAAAGTCACAGAGAAACCCTGTCTAGAAAAATAAGAAACAAAAACAAACAAACAAAAATCTAGACAAATAAATTCGACAGTCAGGAGACAGATTCTGAGTCCACAGGAGCAAATGGACTCCAAGCTGAACAGCAGGCTGATGCTGTTTGTTCTCTGTTCCATTTCATAGGATTAGTCTCTACAGGTTTGTGGGAAGCTCCCAGTCTGTAAATTCAGAGTCTCAGAAGTACAGGGAGAGCTGGATTCTGATAGCACAGACAGCAGTATTCAGACTTGTCTAAGCAAAGCACAGCTCACAAATGTTTGCCTGTCTGTCTCTGTTGGACTGACTTACCTCTGACTTGCTGTTCTAGACTAAGGATGACTGCCACAGCCTGATGAAGAATGAGGAGTTTTGTCTGAGGTTTCTCACTCTTCAAATGAAGCTGACACATTCGGCCAAGCTCCTTGAATGCCTCATTAATATCCCGCACGCGCAGGCGCTCTCTGGCATTGTTAGCCATCCGCCTTTCCTTTTCCCTTTCAATTTTCTGTTCTGGATTCAGATCCTCATCTTCATTGGTACTGCTGGAAAACAGCAGAAACAGTGTCTATGAGCTTCCCCACAGATATGCTAGCTGTGCCAAAGTATAAAGATGAAAATGGAAATTACAACCCCTGCTAGACAAGAGCGACTGCTGTACTTGTAACTGTGACTGGATATTCCTTTCTTCACTGAACCTGAATAGTCATTTAGTTAAGTTGTACCATGATTTTAATATATCTGTTATCATACATTTTAGCATAAAAGCCTTTCCATGAATGCAAATCATTCATAAACAAGAAACATAATTCTACCACCTTGTTATATAGACTGGATCCACACATCAGCAGTCTCAGTGTTACCAGGACCAGTTCAACATACTTTCAAGTCTACACCCTATCCACACACCCACACACACACACACACACACACACACACACACACACACACACACACACACACACACACGCTAGTTTGTCCTTCCAAAATTTTTTTCTCTTAAAATTTGTCCAGAATAACAAAACCATGAGTTAAGATGACTAGAAGTGGAATCGGAATTCTCCAAATGAATTTAATTTCTCATTTACATTCTTCACATGAATAAGTCATATATTAAAACCACAGCATTTCAAAAACTCATTTTTCTCAAGAGAAACATTTAGGCTTTGAAAGCTGTGACAATGTCAAAGACAAAGGAGCTCTATGTTAGGTGTTTAAATGGAAGAAAGGGTCATGGCGTCTTTTAGTTCCATCATTGTTATCTCTTCTGCATTATAATACAATACAAAAATATATTAAATATCAATACCTGTATGATATATATACTTGACAAATGATTCATATAACATAAAATAAGATGCACTGAAAAATGCATTAAGTCATGATGACCTTGGCTGATCATGTCTATAATTCCAGCAACTTGGAAGGTTGAAGCAGGAGGATCATGAGTTCAAGACCACTCTAGGCTACAATGTCTGAAAAACACAACAATATACATGTGCACATACACAAAATCACCTAATTTTTTTTTTGCAATTTTTAAAAAATTTATTTACTTTATGTGTTTTGCCTACATGTATGTCTGTGTGAAGGTGTTGGATCCTCTGGAGCTGGAGTTACAGAGAGTTGTGAGCTGCCATGTGGGTGCTGGGAATTGAACCCAGGTCCCCTGGAAGAGCAGTCTTACCAATGAGCCATCTCTCCAGCCCCCAAATCACCTAATTTTGATGTAAAACTAAAAAACCAAAAACTGAAGGAAGACACACAAAATCATTTGAAACTAATGTATTATGTGTCCAAATTCATGTTTGAAAGCAAGTCAATTTCAATTTCTGGAAAACTCTGAGAGTATCACTCTATCTGGAACTTTCTTTTTTACATTTTTCTCAAATTACTGCTGAAATCAGGAATAGCAAACCTTCTCTATGAAGGGCCAAATGGTAAATATTTCCTGTTTTGTTAGCCAAATGGTGTCTGTGGCAACTATTCAAATCTGCGAATATAAAGCAAACCTAGGCATAGATGACATGAAACCAAAGCATATGGTAGTTTCCAGTAATACCAGATAATAAGCAATAGGCTAATGCTTGCATAAACCACATTAGATTCTGCCATATACTTAGTTATTTAATAGATCAAATATTTATTGGCTGACATACAACAGTTTAACCTGTCCTCTCACTGTCTTTTTTATACTATGAGCAACTGAGACAAGGTAGGCAGTTTTCTTTTCATACGAAGACACAAAGGGGTGTGAAGTCATAACTTCAGTCAAACATTCATATGCCTTCTCTTTAGGAGATGTGAGGATGAAATGGATAAATTTAGATTAAAAAAAAAAACAAAAACAAACAAAAAAAAAACCACAGCCTGGCACCTGGAATATGGTTGGCTGTTACTAATGTATGGCACCCTTCAATGTCCCAAAACATTTTTTTCTCTAGGGCAAATATGTGAGACTTAAGGGTTGGACACTAACACACACCTTGTTCTGCCTCTAGACGAGACCTTGATGTCTTTTTGGGAAGATTCATCATCTGATTTCATGTCATCTGATGAAGGAGGCTCATGAAGGTTCTCATCTTTTTCTTTGTTTTCAGTCTTGATCTCTGTTGGAACAACATTTCCAGACTGATTTTGCAAGCCACCTAACAAAGAGGGAAAGGGAAAGGAAACATAAAATGTAAGTTTAGATGCACATGTTCCAATCGAGACGGTTCAAAGCATTCTAGAGGTAAATATACTTATGGTTTAGGTTGTATGAAACATTCTGGAGGTAAAGGAAAGTACATTATTTAGAGCCAGAAAGAACTTGTCAGAAATCAGTAGTTAGTAACGCAGCAGTTCTAATTTTACCTAGATATTTGTATTTATTCACAAATCTCTATGTTGTACCAAAGATCACAGTTTTTTTTCCTTTGAAAATTTTATGTCTCTCCAGTTCTATGAGAATCTCTAAAGCAACAGTTATTGTAATTCAAAGTTCTCAACAGACTAAGAAATCTATTTCTTACTGACTGGAGGGACTGTGCAGGCTCACTCATGAGAGAGGAAGTACTCAACAGATAGGACAGGAACAGGAGCATCAGCACAGACTACCACTGAGTACTACATAGTGGTTTGCAACCAAGATGGCTGAATAAACACTAGACAGTGACTCTCTGCATCCACAGATGGCAGTTCAAATGGACTGTATTCCAAAGGACACTGTTTTCAACAGTAAAAAATGTCAAGTTACCTCTGTAATTTTCTGGTGTTTTATGGTTCAGGTCTGTGTTTGAGGCAGCAACAGTACTAGACAGGACTGAATGATTGCCATTGAGATTGACTGAATCTTCCCGATGAGTTCCAACCTAAAGTGAAACAAAACAAAACAAAACAAAAAGAAGTCATAAAATGACCAAATTTTATTTATTTATTTTTGTGATAGGTCAGCTGACAGCCTAACCCCAAACTCCTTAATTCAAGTGACTCTCCTGCCTTAGTCTTCTAAATAGCCAGGATTACAGGTATGCACCACTTCACTTGCCTTTGTATAAAGTCATATACAGGACTGTCTAGAGAATATAGTACTATTCATCTGAATTTAATAACTCTTTTTGGGTGTTACTTTTTCTGAATTCCAGTGAACATTTTAAAATACTTGACAGTAGTAAAGTATTTGAACCCAAATGTTACTTAAAAAATAAGTCTCAAAACAAAAAGTCTCAAATTTTAAAATTCCATAGAGTGTTGTTAGCAAAAGCCAAAAGTGCTGCCAATGAATGCCACATTTTAGCTGGACAAGGCACACTAAAAGGAACAGCCTAGAGATCTCCATAAACCCAATAGCCTACTCTACATACCTGTTCCTGTGTTGAATAAAACAACCCCACAATGAAGGTACTAATGGTATTCATCTAACTAGCATCTTTCCACATGTACAGTAGCTTATTTTCCCCCTTCTCACCTGTAATGCAAACCTAAAACAATGAAATCTACATATTTATTCTTAGGCTTTAAACAAACTTAACCAAAGCTATAGGTGACCCAAGTGAGAAGGTAAAGCACACTAACACCAACCACTAGATACTGTATTAGTTTAAGAGAAACATGTAACAAATAAAGCTTTTTATTAGAACAGCAGTAGACTTGTCAACTAGAATATTAAGCCTTTAACTAAATAGTTTACTGCCTGGTTATACAGGAGAACTGTTTTTCAACAGGTCCTTCAGCTTTAACAAATTATCAAGCACAGAATACCTCAAGTGGGTTTATCCTTTGATTGCCTGTGAGAAAAATAAAAAGACCCAAAGCAGAGTTTCAGGCCATTGGGTCATCTGGCAGTGGGTCTGATTAGAACATCTCAGGTGTTTGCCACTTTTAGAAGAAGTATTTGTCTTTTATCCTTATTCTCATCTTTAATGTCTCATTTTAATGTATTCTAAAGCTTTCAAAATTATCTAAGGATTTAGCCACCACTGAGGGTTACTGCCACTGTTCCCTTTAGATATTCTAGTCATACTTTCCCCCTAAACCATGTAAATTTCATCAAGCATTAGAACATACCTTAAAGAATAGAGAGACCATAACCATGATGGAAGACTTCCAATCTCTTTCCACCTTTGAAAATTTCGGACTTTAGGTACCCTGTCTCCATTAAAGACTCTAAAATAACCCTAAACAACTTAGCTTAGCAGTCAGTGAAGAAAGAAGACTGAAGGAAAAACTTGCAGCAGAGTCGGGGGACTTTGACATAAGACATCCTAGTCAAGTTTGTCTGTCCTAATGCTTCCTAGTGCCTTCTTCCTACTGACTAAAGGAAAGAAAGGCCACTTGGAAATCCTCTTCTAGGGGCTGAGGCCACATAAGCCTGAGGACAGGTTTCAGATCCCTAGCACCCACATAAAGGCTGGGTGGGAGTGATAGCAGCTTGTAATCTCAGCGCAAGGAAAAATGAGGCAGAAGATTCCTGAGAGTAAGCTGGCTAGCCAAAGGAGCCTAATTGGCAAGCTCTCTGGGTTCAATTGAGAGACACTGACTCAATATGTAAGGTGGGGAGCCAGGGAGAAAGACACTGGATGTTAACTTCTGACACCCCCCCCAACACACACACCATGAACGCACACAAAGTAAATCCCATTTTATGAAAAGACATAGGATAAACATAACATACAGCTGCTAATTTGAAGTGCAAACCTATTTCAAAGGTGAGATATCATAGAGGAACTTTGGCTCAGGAACTTATCTCTCTAAGATAAAGCGGAAGCTGAACTTTCTATAAGTTTGTACACTTAAAATTTCACAAGATTTTGGTTAAGAGTTTCTAATTCTGTTTTTATTTAATATACTGAATTATCAAAAAAAAAAAAAAACAAAGAAACACCAAAGGAAATTGCCTTATAAATACACAAATACTCACTCTGCATTACACAAGAGAAACCTAGCCTGAGCTGAAACAGCTGAGTTGTTCAGAGACAAAGCATCTGCCAAATTCCCACTTCCTTTACTTGATTAGCACAAAGAAAACAAAAAAAACTTCTGCACTTTAACCAATAAAAAGTACTGTGCCGACCCTCTTCCTGACAAAAGGCTCTGCAGCAAAGGAAATAAGGTAGGCTGTCTTACTTATTTGGGGATATAAATGGTAGCAAGTATTTTTGCCTCAATGGAACAGGCCAAGGTTATTTTCTTACAACACTCACAATACTGCCTCCAAAAACTTTTCAGTTGACATATGTAGTAAAAATATAAACCTTTAAATTATGGTCTCAGACTAGCAGAAAGCTTGAAGTCTGGCGTTTCCCATGTTAATGCAGTCAGCAGAAACTTTTTCTTTGTAACTTGATTCCCCTTGCAAATGGCCCTCATATATTTTCTGAAGAATTTGACTTCCACAGTTTAATAGTTCTCCTTAACCCTTGCCAACCCTGGCTCCCATATCCTTCCTTTAATCTGTGGCTCCACATTGACATGGCTGTCTACATGAACAACAGGTGTATAAACAGTTCTTTGTCTGTGCCAGAGCCTGTGAGCCAGCCAGATAGGACTATTTTAATTGTTCATCTCGTTAGCATACAGCTGACAGGCTGCTACTATGGGGGGAGCAGCAGGGAAGGCAAACCCCTAGGCCTGCTATGCTCTAAGTTTTAATTCTTGTAAGAACCTCACTTCAGAATAAAAGGTCCAACCCACTAAATGACTTAGTCTTGCACACTGAACCTTCACAATCTGTATACAGCTTGATTTTTGTGGAATAACCTAACTTCCTTTCTGGTCAATGACTTTAGTACTCATAGTAGAAAACATGTTAAATCTAATTAGTTGATGAATTAAAGAACAGACTTCAAATTTCTTAGTATAAAGCCCTCTTATTCAATTCATTTGTACCATTTGCTGAATATTATTGTCTTTATTTTGACTATTATTAATATACAGACTAATGATTTTTAAACACTGTCTAAAATATTCTGTAGGTTTAAACCATTTGTTGTTTCCTTAAACCTTATATTTCCTTAAGTATATAACCCCTATTATTTTTTAAATTAAATATATTAAAATTTAAAAACACTAAACTATTTTAAAATAATTTGAATGTGAACATTTAAATGTGAATTAAAACAAAGACTTCAGAAGTTTCCATTTATGGGAAAAATGGATTAAAACAGTAGGAGTGGTTATAAGTATAATTCTTTTATTCAACTGAAACCTAGACACATAATTTTCTATAGTATGGAAACCCATTATAGAATTAACTCCTGCCCAACAGGAAAAATTAGAATATTTAAAGTTAGGAGGGCTGAGAAGATTACTCACTTGGGCTTGCAAATTTGAGGATCTGAGGTTAGATTCCCCAGAACCCACATAGGAGGTTGGTTATAGCAGGACATACAGTTCTTACAGGAGGCAGGGACAGGAGGATCCCTGGAGCTTGCTGGCCAGCTAGCCTGGCCTATATGGTGAAGTTTCACACCAATGAGAGACCCTATCTCAAACAAAAGGTGGTTGGTGATTAAGAAAGCCAGGCATTGTGGTATATACCTTTAATCCCAACACCTGGGAGGCAGAGGCAGGTGAATCTCTTGAGTTCCTAGCCAGCCTAACCAGTGAGTTCCAAGACAGCCAGGGCTACACAGAGAAACCCTGTCTTGAAAAACCAAAACTTACTAACTAAATAAATGACACCCAAGGTTGTCTTCTGACCTATATATACATGAATGTGCAGCCAATTTGCCTCATACAAAGATTTCATATTTATTTTAGTTAAGTAACAAAAGGCTAAGAAAACTCTGAATAAAATATTACTCTACTTCAATACCAAAATCGTCAAGCAATACCAAAAAATAATTTTTAAAACTGTCTGTATTAAATTTCTGTAAGTCTTGTAACAGTAAGAGTAAGAGATCCATAGAGAGAATTTCATTATACACCATCAAGACCTTTTAAGAATTTTCAAAAATGTTATTATTACTGCATACAATAGTACATGGGTAGAGGTCAGAGTACAACTTTATGAAATAAATACCCTTCTTTCATTTCTATGTGGGTTCAGAGAATTGAACTCAAGTCTTCAGGCTTGCATTGTCTGATGGCAAATGCTACAGTTGCACCTTGCTAATTACAATAACCTTTTGAGGATTGGCATCAATTTTCGATAGTAAACAAACACAGTCTCAATCTCTCTTGGCATGGTCTGCAGTTGAAATCACTGTGATATTTTGTGAAAGACACAGGCAGTGGCAAGATGCTACCTTGTTGGGCACAGGGGTTTTTGTTTTTCCATTTTCTTTTTCTCCCCCCAGACAGGGTTTCTCTATGTAGCCTTAGCTGTCCTGGAACTCACTCTGTAGAACAGGCTGGTCTTGCACTCACAGAGATCTGCCTGCCTCTGCCTCCCAAGTGCTGGGATTAAAGGCGTGTGCCGCCACACGTTGAGCAGAGTTATTTATATATACATCGATACGTAGTAATCTTATACTGCTGAAGCACCTGTATAACGCCCAAATGAAACTGATGATTACATTCATTTTTTGTTTAAAATATTTTTTTTAAGTTTTCATTAAAATTCTTGTTTAGTGGTTTATTCCTAAACAAATGAAAGTAAAAGTAAAATCAAATTCTGATATTTCAATAGTTCTAAACACCATTTTAAAATGAAATATCAATCTCACATACTAATGTGCTTGGGAGACTTATGTTTTATATTTAGATATGGAAAAATAAAAAATATAAATGGGGAGTAGTAAATTAAGTAAATAAAACTCCAAGAAAAAGGAAAACAAAGAACAAAACAAAACTCAAATGAAACTGTATCAACCTCCATTTTATTTACTGGTAAGTCAATTTATGATCAAAGTAAGGAACTGACAAAATAGGCCTGTGGATAAATCTTGTCTCTTTCTTTTAAATAAAGGAACCTATTTCTGTAAATAAATGATCCTGGAATTCAGCTGTATTCATCACCCTACCCCCCCCCCACCATATGTCAAGCTGCTGTGTTTTACAACATCATTGGAGGAGTGGGGTGGAGCTCATTAGTGTGCTTTCCCATCAAGCATGCTCTAGACTCAATCCTTATTCTCACCAGAGTCAAGTAGTATGACTGAGATCAGACAACATGCAAAGCTGAAGATAGCAGCTGTTCCTTCTAGCTTTCCCTTCATACAGAACACAAGTCAAATCTTTCCCAAATGCTAGAAAAGAAAGCAGTATTATATTTAAACCTGTAGTCTGAATACTCATCTACAGTAATGTCCTTAGAATAAACTCACTGAACAAATAAAGTATTTGAATGTTCTGGTGAGTTCCTGAAGATATTTGTGTCTAATAGAATAACTTTATAAATTATAAATGGAGTGATGGACAGGCAGTAGTGGTGCACACCTTTAATTGGGAGGCAGAAGTATATAGGACAGCCAGAGGTATACAGAGAGACCCTGCTTTGAAGAACCCCAAACAAACAAACAAACAAACAAACACAAACAAACAAAGTGATGAAAATAAAATGTTTTTAAGATTGTCTCATAAATCCTACAATAAACTGATTACTTCGGTGGTCATTTTATAAACAACTATTTTTAGAGGCCAAACACAAATACTAATATTAAAGAAAATTTTTTTATATTTCTGATAAAAAGGGAAAGTAAATAGTTTTAGAATATAAACCACATTTTTTTTTCTTTTCACAATCAGTTAGAATATATAGTCATGAAGGACAACGAAAAGTGATTAACTTTTGAAGCCAAATGAAACAGACACAAAAATGCGCCCGTAAATCATATACATCCTGTGAGAACAAGGGTGGGTACTGACAAGGAAAGATGAAGTCTTCCTGTGATCACCTATCTATTCCATCCTTTGATCTTAACTCAGACTCAGCTAAAAGCTGATGTTGGAAGGATGAAAGACAAACACTGGCTCACCAGAAGGGGTCGGATCCTGTCAGACACTTTCTGAGTATAAGCCTGTAGCAATTCATGATCTCTACAACTAACATACTACTGACTGTTTATAGATAGGGTGGAGAAAGTAGATACTAGGTGGTAACCTAACAGACATGTGCCCTCTAAAAACAGAAAGAACTGAAAAGGTCTTGATAAACACTGAAAAACAGCTTGGGCTTAACTGTGTGGCCTGGATGTTACTGCTCTCAAAGGGACAGAGTCACTACATTTTAAGAAACCCCTCTTTGTAGAACACTATGAGGCCTTTTCTCCATCAGAATATCTCTTTGGGAGGTAGATGCATGTGGAACTCTGTAAGTTCGAGGCCAGTAGGGCTACAAAGTTGAGTACCTTAGTAATAGCAAGCAAGCAAGCAAGCAAGCAAACAAACAAAAACCAAAAACAAAAAAACTTAAGAGGGGAGGAATACAAATCGAAAATGTTTCAAAGGCCAACCTGAGATTTAAAAATAGGATTTTCAAGCCATTCTGCTAGAAATAAAGGTAAGTAACATATCAGCAATTTACTAATCTGGTTTTCTATATCTATAGTTGTAAAATGCCATGCTACTTGTCTAGTTATACCACTAAAATATTTCTTTGTGAGACAAGTTCTCTAAATGTAGCGCTAGCTGGCCTTAAAATCAGAGAGCCATGAGCCTTTACCTTTTAAGTGCTGGGATTAAAGGCTGGAATTAAAGCTACCAAGGCTCTACTAAAATTTTTCTAATAGTCATAGTGAAGATGAGTCATATCTGGATTTAGTAATTCATAATTGTTTTCATATTAGTTTATCAGCAAAAACTAATTTAGAAGGTGGTTAAAATCCAAGATTTCCTGACACTCAAAACAAAACAAAGAAAACAGAAAACAACATCCCTAACTGCAAAGACATGAGGTGGAAATAGTGAGACTAGAAACCAGGTGGCCTTTGCTGCTTTCTGGTGACATGCAAATGTGGAGACCTGGAATCAATATCTTTTTACAGAAATCAGGCCCTCAGCATTGGGGCACTTAATTGCTGTGGCTATAGGAGAGTTTTAGCCTTGATTACATGGCTTATAGTCTGAACTCTGTTTCACAGGAAAATATTTTGCAGCATGAAGTGGACATTAAAAAACATGCAATAAACATGCAGACACATGGTATCAGTTATACAGCAGGTTCAAAATAAATCTTTAAAATACAATTTGGATGAAAATAATGCAAGAACATTTGACACATATATACATAGTTTTAGAAGTCTATGCTTTTTCTTTTCTAAAGATGAATTAAATGATTTTATCTTCTGAGGGGACTAAACTAAAACAGTTTCCTTTGCTATCTAACAATCATTCTAGCTGCTCCCTTATCCCATTTTTGTTTCTTGATTTGGGAAAAAAAGGCTAAATTTGGACCTGTACAAATTAACAGTTTCAGTTTTTAAATTTCTGCTATTGAAGACAAATTCTAGATAATAACAAACAACTTTTCTAGCCTGGAAAAATTTTCTGGATTGGAAAATTCCTTCCTAGATTAGTTTTTTTCCTAAACTGTGGCACTGAAGACTGAACCCAGGGCATCATACATACTAGAGAAGTGTACCACCATTGAGTCACATCTCCAGGCTTCTTTTTACTTTGAAACAGGGTGTTACTAAGCTCCCCAAGCTGGCCTTGAGCTTGCTCTTCTCCTGGCTCAGCTTCTGGAATAGCTGAGATGACAGGCTTGTGACACTGGTCCCAGCTAGACTTTAAAGCACAGTCTTGCTTCACAGGCTATGCTATTCATCCTTCCTACTCACTATCCAAAGCATACACTGTCATTCCAATAAGTATGTATCTGGAAAACAGACCAGGCTAAAGCTAATAGATCTCTGTAGAAAGTTTCTTCTTTTTGTATGTGACCACAGCAGAATCTGACAGACCATATGATAGCCAATACAGGAAAGTCGAGAAGGCTCCTTTTAACATTCCATTAAAACAAAACAAAACAAAACAAAACAAAAAACCCTCCAACCCTTTCCTCCAAATTTCATGAAAAATAATTAGGATAATAGGGGTAATTGAACATAAAACGAACATGACTTACCATCGAAGCTGATCGACTGTTTGTAACAAGGCTTGATCCTCCATAGTTTGAATTGAGGTTTCCAATTGGTGCATTATGGGATGGTCCCAATAAACTGTGTATATCACTGTGGCTAGAAGGCAGGCTGGTAGAAGGTCCAACTGCATGGTTCCGAAGCACATGGATAGCATCATCCAGTCTGTCTAAACGGTCCTCCATTCGAGACTGCTGTAAGGATCAAAAACAACATGGGGTAGGGTGGTTACTGATGGCATCTACTCAATTTACTAAGTTCCTACATCTCCTATTCAGGGATATATGGAAGGCAGCAAGTGAAATACGGTATCAACTAGCTTCAAAAACGACTACCTATACTTCAAACCAACAACAAAAAATGCAGCTATTTTCAGACTATGATGACTTTTCAAAGCAGTGGACACAAGTCACTGCTTTATAAGACGAATTTAACAATCTATCAAGAGGTTATTTCGTTTAGTTTCTATAATACGAAGGCTGCTATGTCAACACTCAATTACAGCTGATGGAAAGGAATAAACTGTACTTTAACATGACCTCTGAAAGACATCAATTTGGGGAAAGGCTTTCAAATCCATTTAGTTTAAGTTTTAGGTGAGCAGAACACACCTATCTTCAATGGTGTACACATCCAGATAAGCTCTTTAATAAAACTGAAGGAAAGACATCTACTGCCCATGGGTCACACATGCCTTATTATACACAAACACATTAGACTTCTGGAAATCAAAAGCACATGCCAGTAGAGCTCTTAAATGAAGCCATTCTCAACAGACACGTCTACTTCTAGTACTGCTACAAGAGTGGCAATGCTTATTATTTGTTTGATTTTTAAAAGACGCTGGAGTCTGTATAGCTTGATAATTTTAAATGGATAAGGGACGTATAAGTAATTTAAACACACAAAAAAAGGCACCATCTAAAAGAAATAGTACCTCACAGACATCCTTTAAGAAGGACATTGCATCTTGCAAATGCTCGTGAAGTTGCTGCTCAACTCGATTTTTCTGGCAAAGTCAAGACAGAACAGGAGGCAAAGCACAGGTTAAGATTAACTCCAAAAGAGATGAGGAAATAGCTGATGTGCTTGTTGGCATAATCTGTTAGTAAAGTTAATGTAGAGATCTGCAAGATCTACTTGTATTAAGTTCTGAAAAGGCTGGGATTTAACAGGGACTCACAAGGTTAGCATCTAAACAGCACACACTGCTTGGGTTTGCTTGCAAAATACATGAGAAGACAACTTTCCCTCAACTTAAAAATATTTTGTTAGGCACAGAAAAAGAGTGTTTCTGTTTGCAACCTGGAATTACTAAATGAGAACATGACTTAGCATTTTACCAGATCACACTCATTTGTTTATTTTTATTACACTTTGTGATTCTGGGTTACAAATGTAATCACACAAAAGCCAACAGTAGTGAACATTCTATTACAAATTCTTCACCTTGGAGTATTAGTCCTATTTGTCTGGCAAGCAATGTAGTGCTTGTGTGATTTGTACTTTTTATTGTAAGAAAATATCAAAAATACTTTTATAGTAAAAAATTGACATCAATGGAAAAGTCTCATATAAATGTAACAAACAACACATGATTTTGAATCAATAGACTTGATTTCTTGTCCTTTTAAAAAATAAACTTCCTTTTACATACATTGACAGTATAGAAATATTAAGTCTTATGTTTTTCAAAGAAATAAAAATCCCTCTACTTTAATTCGATTTGTCTATACAAGTCTCATGTCCCAAAAAACAGATGAAAATAAGGACACCTAAAGTGTCATATTGTCTACTAAATCTGGTCATCTGTTAGCAAAGAATTCGTGAGCACTGCCACTACTAACAAAAAACCCCTCTGAACCATAACACAAAAATTCTATAACACCTGTAAAGATAGTAGATCGCTCTTACCAAGGAGTGAAGTGAGTTTTCATAGCTTGGGGATGAAGGAGCTTGCCCTCCAGCTCTGGGCCACTGACTGGTACCTGTTACACCAAAAAGCATTCACATGTATGGATGAACTAGTCTTGGTAATATTATGGAAAGTGTAAAGATACTTAGTAATCATAAACAAATAATGGAAAGCTTGTTTACCATTCAGCATAATATTAGCAACTTATAAGTATAAAATGGCTAGAAAACTTTTTCATTATTAATATATCAATTTAGTAAGTTGATTAATGAGGAAAAAGCCCATAAAACATAGCTAGCATTATGTTTGTATATTGTTTAGACTTTGTCTACAGATATGTGTTATCTTTGAAAATGAATATAAGGATATACAATGTTTGCATTTCCACAATGGCTTTATAGTGTTTGATAATGTTATTCATGATGACAATAATACTTATCTGTTTCTCTGTACCATAATTTGCTTAATTACCCACATCTCATCACTGGCAATTTTATTTTCCTTTGAGATAGGGTCTCCTTATGTAGCCTGGGCTGTCCTGAAACTTGCTACGTAGACCAAGATGACCTTGAACTCAAACTGCCTGCCTCTACCTCCCAAGTGCTAGGATTAAAGGCCCATGCCACCACACCCTGGCTGGGTTTTGATTGAGTAGCAATGCTGAGTGTTGCCACAATATACCATGACCGATTTTTTTCTCTGGGGAGTATATTTCCAAATGAAGTAGTATTTCTCAATTGAAAGAGTATATATATGCTGGACCGTGGTGGTGCATACCTTTAATCCCAGCCCTTGGGAGGCAGAGGCAGGCGGATCTCTATGAGTTTGAGACCAGTGTGGTCTACAAGAGCTAGTTCTAGGACAGGCTCCAAAGCGCTACACAGGGAAACCCCGTCTCAAAAAACAAAACAAACCAAAACAACAACAACAACAAAAAAGAGTGTGCACACATTCATGTGTAACTTCTGACAATGCTCATAGCCATGCATAGATGAAGCAGTTTCAAAACCTAAAAGGCACTAGGAACACTGCCTAAAAAACTATTTACATAGGGAGCCCAAATTACTGAAACAAAATGTCATTTCATTCAGATGGCAAGTGCCTTTAATCCCAGCACTTGGGAAGCAGAGGGAGTTGGATTTGTGAGTTCAAGGAAAGGCTGGTCTACAAAGTATGTTCCAGGACAGCTAGGGAAACACAGAGAAACCCTGTCTGGAAAAACAAAACAAAAAAAGCAAAAAACAAACAAAAAAATCATTTCAACCACTTTTGTTTCAATCATCCTCCAAACCCATATGTGATGAGTCTGTGGCAGGAGCCAGTTCATCAAATTGGATGTTCTGAAATGTTTGGAGACAGGACAGTCAGTAGGCAAACAAATGCAAACAGTTTCTGTGGTTCTCATGAGCTTAGTGTTACGGATGCAGAGGAATGCACTGCATCACTCACATGAGAAATCTGCACTCAGAAGACTATATATGTATGTATGTTGGGGACTGAACCCAGCATCTCATATTTGTTGGATAAATGTTCTATAACTCATTAAGCTATATTCCCCAGCCTTCTATAATTTTTGGATAATGGTATTAAGAAAACTTGCAACAGGTCATCAAGATGGTTCAGTGGGTAAAGACGCTTGTTGCCAAGCCTCACAACTGAGTTTGACACCTGGACCCATGTAATAGAAGAAGAGAACCGACTGTTGCTAGCTGTCCTGACTTCTAGATGTATACACCATGGCGGTGTACACACACACACACACACACACACACACACACACACACACACACACACACACACACACACACAGAGAGAGAGAGAGAGAGAGAGAGAGAGAGAGAGAGAGAGAGAAACCATGCAAAGATCCAACTCTAAAACCCATCTAACTATACATAAAAAAAGATGGGGGAGGAGTTAAGGGGGAACTGGTCAGGATATAAAAAAATATAATGATAAATCACTTAAAAAAAGACATATACTTAAACTTACTTTGTTGTTTTATTATTGATTGGTCTACTCAGTGTTACAACACAAGGTTAAAGCAGAACATCAGCAGGGCTAAATCAGTAATAGATATCTCTTTGAATGTCATACAAATTCTGAGCTACACTTCATGGACAAAGGTCCTCCTATAACTGTAATAATCACCTAATATTTTGTCGTTGGGCACAAAGGGGGTGAGAGACAGTTACACAAGGCAGAGGTAGCTCACAAGTCAGCACCATCACCTGGTAAAATTGAGAACACAGGCATTTAGTGAAGGTTGGGAGTGCAGCTTCCAGAATGTATAAGTCCTAGAATGTGTAAGTTTCTAGGTTTGATCCCTAGAATTTGGTACACACAAAAATAAAAAAAAGAAAGAAAAAACCCAATTTATCTTAATCTGCCTTATAGAGATGATCTTAAGAGATATGAAAGCATACTACCACTTGAAATGTCTTTCTGGTAATAGAACATTAATACCATCTCCTTCTGTGCATAGATTCTAATATAATAAAAAAACTAAGCAGGGTAAATACACCAATATCTTGGCAGTCTTGGAGTACGGATGTCCAGTACTCTGCATGGGTTGGGAATCAGATTCCAGACACAAAGCACAACACTAGCTAACATGCATCTGATACTAGAAATCGCTATAAAGTTCATCTTTATAAAATTAGCATGAGAATAAAATATACACGTTAAGTTTAGAATCAGGTTGGTGGCTCTACCATGCAATTGTCAACTATTGCATACAGGACAATAGAGAAAAATGAACAGTGCAAAGGCTGGAAGTCTTGGTCTGTCTTAGAATAGGCTGCTCTCCCTCCCACAGCCCATCACTTGATGTTTGTGGCTGGACAGTTCCACAGGGAGAGCACAGACTTTGTGGGAAACAATTTAACTATCCTACAGCCTTTTTTTTTTTTTTTAAATTAGCTATTCTAAAAATTTGGCTCTTAGTTTAGAAAGATCATATCAAATTTACTTACTAAAATTTACTGAACTTATTTATAAGAAGAAGCTAGGAGGTGACTAGGATTACAGCTGAATTTTCTCTGGGAAGACTTTGGTCATACCTAAATTTATGCAGTGTTTTTGACTTGTTCTTACTCTGACCAGCACTTAGGAGCACTTCACTCAGTAGAAATGTTTCATAAACTAAGAGAATGGATACTCCCTCCCATGTAATAGCTAAGAGCACTTCTAGGCTTTAATTCATTTATTAGTTCCCTCTTGTTTCTGAGACAGTGTCTTACTATGTACCCTTGGGTGGCTTGGGACTTGCTTTATAGACTAGGCTGAAGATCCATCTGCCTTCTGTCCCTGCCCCTTTACCTCTCACTCAGTGCTGGGATTAAAGATATGCAACACAATGCTTGGCTCCCAGTTATTTCTTACTCCAGGCTCCCATTAGTTTCTCTTGTAAACCTTGATGTCCCCCCCCCACCACCACCACCAACACTAGAATCCTAATCCTTACAGGTTCCCACAAAATACCCCAGTCACCCTTTCCACACATGACTAGATTAGGAGGGCAGACACTTTCTCATTCAGATTTGTGCTGCATTCTTTCCTTTATATTCATAAAAGTTGCTCTCCTCCTATTAAAATCTTCCTCATAAAACCTGTGCCCTAACCTGACCATAACCGAGTGTCAATTCTGTGGCTTTAGTTTCACTGTATTCTCTCAACTTATCTGGAAACCTGCTGAAGCCAGGCAAGTGATTTAACACTAGGCATGCTTCCAGATGACATATACAAATATTTTCATTAAACTGACATAAACCTAAACTAAGCCATTACTATGAGGTTCTGAGGACTGCTACCAGGTCCTAACATTACAGACCTTCCTCATCTATATCCCGAATGAAGGCAAAGAAATGGTTGGCTTGTCTGCCTCCCAAGTTTTCATACTGAACATTCTCCTAACATAAATGTGTGTCACTTCCTAAACTGTAGTAGGCACAGCCATTTCTCTTTCACCTCATTACCAAAGGCCTGAGTTTCTTCAAGGGGGTGAAAGGGTGAGCCTGTTCTGTCCTAACACCATGAGAGAATAATTCTATTCCAACTTTGGTAAATCCCAATACCTAAGATAAACACGGCAGGTCCAATTAAGAGGCAGGTAACTGAGGTAGGCCCAGTGCTGGACAATGAAACATGAGGCTAAATCTATAGGAGAGGAGTCTGGAAAAGATTTAAGAGACATGGGGGAAAATGGTGTTTTTTTCTTCTACTGGGTACTGTTTGTAGTGTTTCAAAGTGTCAGAAAGAACTGCTAGGAGGTAGAACAGGAACTCTAATATGCAAATTTACAGTTAGTAAATGTTATGGGCTTCTTGTTAGTTAAGAACAAATGCTCACACACCTTTAATACCAGCACTTGGGAGGCAGAGGCAGAGGCAGAGGCAGAGGCAGAGGCAGAGAGAGAGGCAGAGAGGCAGAGAGGCAGAGAGGCAGAGAGGCAGAGAGGCAGAGAGGCAGAGAGGCAGAGAGGCAGAGAGGCAGAGAGGCAGAGAGGCAGAGAGGCAGAGAGGCAGAGAGGCAGAGAGGCAGAGAGGCAGAGGAGGCAGAGGCAGAGGCAGAGGCAGAGGCAGAGGCAGGCAGATCTCTGAATTCAAGGCCATCTTGGTCTACACAGCAAGTTCCAGACCAGTCAAGGCTACATATATAGTAACAAGGTCTCAATGTCTTCCCTATACCCTAAGAACAAATACTGTTTAATGTTCAAGCTAGCAGAGACCAGAGTTCCTTTTTCCTTTCATCCTAAGCTTCTTAATAAGTACAATGTCTTAGAAGCTTCCTTCACAGGTTCTTGAGATCAAAATGTATGTTCCTGGTTTGGAAAGTGCTGGAGGAAGATGAGATGGATTTATCCAAGAATGACAGCCATGAAGCTGGCTATGAGGATCTGTTGGGTCTGTCTATCGTCACAGATCCTGTGCTGAGTCAGACTGATGGCCAGGCATAGGGAACAGGGCTAACTGTGGTCAACCCACTTATTTCAGATAACAGATCAAGGCCACATAAGGTACAAAGCAATCTGCACAAACAGGAGCTCTGGTGAGCTGTTTCCTTGTCTTTTGACTGTGACCATTTATCACACAGTGCTTTTCCTTCCTCCCCATCTCTGCTCTGCCATAGTGTGTGTATTCATGTATGCAAGGGAAGTAGACATGGCAAAGAAGACGGGAGAGATGCACCTTTATAAATACACTCTAAATTGGTGTTTCAGTAGCATTATGTGAAAATGGTTTTCTATTACTGCTGAATTCAAAGCAGACCCAAACATTATATAACCAGTAGTCTACATTTAGATTAACTATCTGAGTTATAGGGGAAAAGACTATCACTAGTTAAACCTCACTTAACAATGGAGGAGTCCTTTGTCGTACCAGTCTGTTTCACTCATGCCTTCTTAGATGATGAGCACCAGGCTCCTTTCCCCCTTGATGAGTACGTACAGTAAAGGACACATGGACACATCAGATGACAAAGTGCAAAAACAGAGGGGCAAAAATTACACCCAGGATTTTGTTAAAACAGTTCTAATATAGTGAGGAGGGCTAAGTTACATCATTCTCCCTGTAACTTCAGCTCTGTTAAACAACTCTAAGTCAATGGGTCTTTCATCATCTTGCTTATGTGGGCAACAGCTGCTTCACATTTACTAGACAGCTGAAGCCATGATTTCTGAAAAAGTGGCATAGCCTGCTACTAGCCAAGAGCAGCTGCTGCAGCTCAACTTGTCTATCCTGGAATGTGGCTGAGTAGAGACACAGGGCTAACAAAGCACAGGTGACAGACAACAAGAGCCCCCGACTTCTAGAAACCCTGCACAACACAACAATGCTTAATGAAAATGACCACATTGTCTTAACTGTTGCTAGATGGAGGGCAGAGCCAGAGCTGAGGCTGACCAATGTGGGGTGTGGGGATTTCACTTAGTTGTCTAATAATGGCTCCTCTTTAAAACAAACACATTTGCTTCAGGAAGTCCCTCCCCTCCAAATGTTGCTTTGAAAAATATGGGTATGGTTTTAAAATTATTGCCTGAAAGATATTTTCATGACTTTACTTAATATTAATAAAAAATTACCATTTATAGTATCACAACAAATTCATCCTAAGGATAGTTCTAGAACTTGACAAAAAACAATGTTCAAAATCAGGAGAAAGGAAAACAAACTGAA